TATATATATATATATTCTTTTGCCATTCCTACAAGTAATTTGAACCGGGAAGTTCATGAACAGTTAGCAAATTTGGAAAATAATCTATAAACACCTCAATACTATTTGCATCTTCCTCTTCAAACTTTGGAACCAATGGATGAAGATCTTGGGAGAGGAACTTCATTGAAGCATTCGTTCATCGTGTTTTGAAGGAACTTCCATCACCTTCTCTCTTCATGTCTATTAGAAATAACAAAAGGTTATTTTTGTGTCTTTTACATTGTTTAATATGATTTTTGTAAAATAAATACGTTGACGCAGATTCACATACGCACTAAATTAATTTAACTTTCAATTAAATTATCAATTTTTTTTATCAAATATAACCTAAATTAGAGATTTCATCATGATTTGGATTTTGTAAGAATCCAACTTTTTTTTTTATGCTATGTAAGAACTCAAACTAAAATCAAAGCAGACTTTAATAAGAAGTTGCAAATTTGAACAACCGAAGCACTTTTCTATTTAAATGAGTTTTGTTTTTATTTTTATTTTTTGATTTTTTTCAATTAATTTTAAAGTTGTACATAGCAAACCAAATACACTACAAAGTTACAGACCAATTTGGCAGCTCCTACCTAAAAGTATGACAAAAAAATGAACCAAGAGTACACATGATAGTCCTTGAGTTGAGGATATTGTGTTGCATTCAGTATTTCAATAAAATAAGATGACTAACCTTCGGTATGTAGAATTTTTTTCTGGAATAAAATTTTTTAAAAATAAATTACACAAATGGACACACACTCCGATTCTTTACCAAAATGAAACTATTTATTGTTCACATTCAGAATTCAATTTCTCGAGAACCAAAATCTAAACTGAGTTGTTGGCTCTGACGAGTGGTAGTGGCTGCCGAAATTCAGTTTCCAAGGAGCCGAATTTCGAGCAGCTTTATCCTTTTTTTCTGTTTTTATTAAATTTTATTTTTTAAAAAACAATTTAAAATTTTTAAATAATTTAAAAAAATATGTAATAATTAAATAGAATTTTTTTTATTAATATTTAAAAAAGGAATTTAAATTTTTATTTTCAATAAATTAAAAATGTAATAAGTTATGATGTTAATAAATAATAATTTTAATAAGTTATATTTACAATATATTTTAAATTTAATAAATAATAATTTTAATAAATTTTTGATTGGTGTCATTCAACAGCTGTAAAACAAATGAAATTTATTATAAAAATAACTTATTAAAATTATTATTTATTAAAATTTTAATTCATTATCAATATAACATTAAAATTATTATTTTTTAACATTATAACTTATGAGATTTTTAATTTTTAAATTTAAAAATTAACTTAATTTTTTAAAATATTATTAAACAAATATTATTTATATATTACATATTTTAAAAATTATTTAAAAACTATAAATTATTTTTTTAAAAATCAATTTAATCAAAACCAAAAAAAAAAAAAAGGAAGATGCTACTCGAAATTCAGCCCCCAGGAACCGAATTCCAGCAGCCACAAAACGTAACCAGGACACCACCAGTAGGTCAGAATTCGGTTTCCTAGGGACCGAATTCTGAACCTGCCCAGTAAAAGGTTCTACTCAAGTAAATAAATTGTGAGGAGTCCATTTCTATAATTTTTTTTTAAAAAAATAATATTTCAGAAAAAAATTCACGATATGTATTAAAGAAATTTTGTATGTTCAATATTAACAACCAAAATGGCTCTCAACACGGTGAATGGGACCTATTAATTACTATTATTTTATGAGAAAAGTACAAATGGTTTCATAAACATAATAAAAGTTTAAATATATTTTAAATTTAAAGTATATTTATTTTTAGTCCCTCAAATTTTAAACAAATTTTTAGTCCTTAAAATTTTTTTAAAAAATATTATTTTAATCTTTATATTCAAATTTTGTTAAAAAATCTGTCAAATATTACTGTATAAAATCTCCTTACTAGTATTCTTATTAATGAAAATATTACATTAATTAAACACAACTGATACTGCATAACTTTCTTAATCTGTTACTTTTAAATATGTTGTTGGTGACATAAGAATGAAAACAAAATTTTTAAAAATTACAGGGATTAAAAATAATTTGAAATTTGAGGAATAAAAATAAATTTATCCTAAATTTGAGAGATTAAAAATATATTTAAACCTATAATATATTATAATTTGCTTAAATATAAAATCGAAATACCACAATTGAAGTTCTATGCAGCAAATTTATCCAAAACATAGGGATTCTGTTAACATCCAAGAAATTTATATACATTATTAAGTTCAAAGGACATTTGCTAATGGTTCAATAACATCTTAATATTGAGTTGACTGATAAATCCGATAATAATAATTATTAGAATAGACTATGATAATATTTTAAAAAAAATAAATTAAAAATTTAATTCAATTTTACAAAATTAAATTATAAAAAAATAATTACTCTTTATTTATATATATTATTATAAAATTATTTTCTACATATGAAAGAAAAGTGTTAGACAATAGTGAGGATTCCTCGGGCTTCTTTTCCTTTACTCATCGATGAGTTCAGCCCAAATACAAACCCACTTCCAAAAGAATAGAATACAACGCATATCAATTTAATTGATACCCAATTAATCGTAATTCATATGGACACATTCCGATAGTAAAAGGAAAAAGGAGATGATGCAAGAAAGTGGAACTCCCAGCTAACCAAACATAAATAGAAATCAAATTCTATGTATTATTATAGGATTCAGTAGTGACAACGTCACATGCTCAGCTAGCCGTGCACTTGACAAAAATGAGAGGCTTACAACTTACATTCTGACATTATTTACTCTAAACTTCACATTCGTAGTTTACTACCCAAGCATATACAACTTACAAGCCCAAATGGGGACGTTGTGCGCTCTCCACGATCTTCCATTACCAAGTTAATACCAAGATGGTGAAGTCTATTTAAGGAATGCAACAGAGTATAATTTATGGATTTCTTTCTTAAATTTTTTATCCGAGTTAATATACTACTCTTTTGTCCTTCTATCCGCCGTCTATCACATAATTAAACCTGAAAAAAATTAGGGAAGAAAAGGACTAAGACATGGAATCAGTAGTGCGTAGTTCCAATTCACCAGTATCCTCCAATAGTACAATCTCTTTGATTTCCTGCAACATCTTCAAGACCTGCCACATAGTGGGCCTCTGCTCAGGCGAGGTCAAGCTACAAGTTGTAGCAACCTGAAGAAGCATGTCCATTCGGCCATCCTCGCCCCCATTGTCATCTCTGATGGACCTCACCCAACTTGACATATCACCAGGAGCCATGAATGGGAGTTCGGAGGGGAATTTCCCCGTCAGAAGCTCAAGCAACAAAACCCCATATGCATATACATCGGATTTGTGGGTTGGGTGATGATTTGGGTTGCGAGTCTCTGGAGCTCTGTAGGCTGCTGAATCACCATCTTCGTCAAATATGGATGGCTGTGTCAACACGGACAGGCAGTAATCTGTGATGCATGCCTCGAAATCAGGCCCAAGTAGAACATTCGAGGACTTGAGATTTCCGTGGACCAGTCTCCATGCCTGGTGGATGAAGGCCAGACCTTGTGCAACGTCCTCTGCTATTTTTAAGCACGATGTCCAATGCAGTGGTCTTGCCCTGCTTGATCTCGAACCTGCACGCCACCAAGTTAAAACCATTAATAGTTTTTTCATGTTATGTAAGCTAATTATGAGTATTATTAGCATGACTCACTCCATTTTGGTAGGGTTATTTTTGTTTTTTTTACTTAAAAGAAAGAATCAGAATGACGATTAACATTTGAATTTACTGTCTTATGTATCTTATTCTAATTTGAATAATATTCACCACTAGACCAACCTTCTTTCATATAAATAGGCAAATGTATTTGATTATTTATTTTAGTTAGAGGTGGCAAAATGGATCGTGCTTTGCGGTCTGGCCCATTGACCCCCAAAAATTGGCAACTCATCATTTTAACCTACTAAGTCTGCCAACCCAACAAGCCAAATGGTCGGTGAGCACATCACAATCCACCAGGCTGCATTTGAGGTTCTTGTTAAAAAGAATATGTACTGTCTCGACTTAATTCCGATATGATTCGTAGGAGCAGGACCGAGACCCGCTTCACCTTGCCACGTGGGGCCACTCGGCAAAAGACCGATCCGATTTTGTAGCACGGGTGAACTCGATCAATATATGATCTGACCACCGTCACAGGAGATGCCTCGATGAAAGACCGACCTTACCCGACCACGTGAGTTAGCTCGATCTGGGTGAAATCGGCCAAGGTGAGCTCAGCCGTGTTAAGCTCGACCTAGGCGAGATCGGCCAAGGTGAGCCCAACCATGATAGGCTCGACATAGGTAAAATCGGTCAAGACCCGAGCGAGTCCTACCTCTCGTGCTGATTCGAGGATTAAGGACGAAAAATCTATCTTTAATAATCAAATATTTTCAATGAAAACTGTTATGGAAATTCTTGCGTTTACAAGGCCCAGCAGGCCCATGAAAAGAAAGGTATAAAACCTAAAACCCTAGAGTCAAGGGGGCGGATTACACTTTTGAATGCTCTGGCTCTAAGGCTACTTAGGAAGAAATCCTAATCCACCTTTTGGCCGGAACAGAATAGTAATTTGTAAGTTTGTAATTTGATTTTGATTTTGTTGTAAGTGGACTAATTTCTACTTGATTTAGTTGTAAGTTTATAATTTGCTTTTGTTGAACATATATTATGCACAATATGTATGCATTTTCAATTTCATGTGGTTATATTTATTTATTTGTACTATTTTTTTATTTGAACATAATATACATTGTTTTGTAATTTATTTTAGTGGTATATGGGTTGACCCACCGGCCCGCCAATCTGTTCTTAGATGAGACAAACCAACATTCCTAGTCCGTTTTACAATAATGGACGGTCTAGTCCAACGCATTTTTGGCAGGCCATTGACGGGTCGAGCCAAAATGGGTCAGACTAACCCGTTTTGCCACCACTAATTTTGACATAGTATGATAAAAAAAAAGGTTTAATTATCTTTTGTCATTATAATTTTATGACTTCAATTTTTGGTATCTGAAATTAAAAAAATTTCATTCTATTCCTCATCTATATATTTTTTTTTCTTTTTATTTCCTACGGTTTCATAGGACTTAATTTTAGATCTATAAAACAAGCCTTTACTTTTTTATTCCCTATAAAAATTTCTAAGTTGTATCTATTCAGGCTCTAATATGTATAGGAACTATACCTAAAAGGTAAAATTCTTAAAATTATAATGACGAAAATGATGATTAAACTAAGAAAATAAAAAACAAGAAGCAAACCAAGTGTTAGATTTTGGCATTATGGGAATATGGGTGTTGCACTCGTGGTAATGCAGTTTGGTACGAATCTAGAGTTGAAAAGCGGAGCACAGTTGGATAACTTTACGACACACAGATAGATTTTGACTAGATTTTGACGAAAGATGGTAGGGTCCCCAGAAGGAGAAAGGATTAGATTTTGGGGGGTCAGCATGGGAGAGTTGTAATGACCGACCACATTGGTTCCACCTCCAGCATCCTGCCTCCAGTCTAACGGCTATAAACATTTAATGGGTAATGAATGCTCGTACTGTCATCACCCTACATAATAATGCCCATCTTTCCCTTTCAACAAAATCTACCTGTCCCCAATTCATCGGCACTAGTATCTAATTAACAGCTACCCACCCCTCAACTGCGTAAAAATAAAACCACTATTCCTCTTCAGTCTTCTCGCTACACGACACTCCAACAACACCCATGCTTTGTTTAATTAATTCCCTATCCAATCTTTAAAATAATCCCTTGAACTAGAGACTCGTCAGCAAGATTCTCGTTGCTGGCTGAAATGAAAAGCTCAACCGTTTCAATCAAATCCAAAAATGCAGTCACATGCAAAAGCGAATTTCAAAAACTTTGGACGCACTAGTATTTTGTTCAGTCACCAAAAACATAGATGTAAAAACAAAATCGACTTTAATAATAATAATAATAATAAATTTAGAAATGCGTGGTGAGTAGGAGTACCGTGAATGAGGGAGAAGAGGCTGCCATTGGGCTGGAAGTCATAGATAATGAGCCTCTCTTGCTTGGCCTGGAAATAGGCCCTAAGAGGAACCAAATTGGGGTGTCGAAGGCCACCCACGGATTCCATGTGACGCTCGAACACTTCCTTAGTAGCATGCGCAGCCATTTTCCCCGCATCAAGCCGCTTCACGGTCACCATCAGACGGTTATCAAGAACCGCCTTATAAGTCGTTCCCAAACACCCTCTCCCCAACAGCTCCGCAGACCCCTTCATCAGCTGCTCCAGCGTATACACCTGCGCCTCCCCCGCACAGAATACCAAGCTCCCACTCTTCGCCACCTCCGCTCTCTTCACCTTCTCCTCCAGCTCCCTCTCCATCTCCATCCGCATCACCGCCGCCGCTTCCGCCGTCGCCAAAGCATCCGCCGCCATCATCCCCGACCTCCCCTCCTTCTTGCTCCGACTCCTCTGCTTCCTCACCGCCGCCGCCAACCACGCCAGCGAGCACACCACCACCAAAACCCCCGCCGAGAATCCGATTATCAGCGCGCGCCGGTCGCGCCGCTTCTTCTCGTACGGCTGCCGGATCAAACCGTCGACGCCGTGCCCCCGCGCGCTCTGGCCGAGCGGCGCCGTAGGCGGCGCCGCAGGTCCGAAGAAAGGCTGCGATGGACGGCATTGCACGCGGATGATCTCGCCGCAGAGGTTAGGGTTGAATGCGAAGGAGGAAGCCGGAAAACGTAACAGCGTGGGCGTGAGCGGAATGGCGCCGGAGAGGTTGTTGGCGGAAACATCGAATATTTTGAGAGAAGACTGGTTAAACGGAGGGATTGAACCGTTGAGGAAGTTAGAAGCGAGACGGAGGGTGTGGAGGCGGTCTAGGTTAGTGAAGGCGGTGGAGATTGAACCGGAGAGGTTGTTGTGAGAGAAATCCAAGTTTCGGAGACGGTGGAGAAAGAAGAGGGAGGGAGGGAGAGAACCGGTGAAGTGGTTGTGATCGAGAAAGAGGCTTTTGAGATTGGAGAGAGAGGTGAGGTCGGGTACGGGTCCGGTGAGTGAGTTGTTCTGCAAGCTGAGGACTCGGAGCTGGTCGAGACGCGTGAGTGTGTTGGGAGGCCAAAACCCTCGGAGATCCAAGTCTTGGAGAATGAGACGCTCCACTTTGGCTCCGTTGCATACGACGCCTTCCCAGGCGCAGAAGCGGAGGCCGCGCGTGGCGGGGGAGAAGTGGAGGCGGTTGTTGACGTCGGCGTTGCGTTTGAAGGCGAGGAGGGCGGTTGCGTCGGTGAAAAGTAACGGCGGGAGATGACGGGGCGTTAGTTTGGAGCAATGTGCGGTTGACGTGAGGATGAGGATGAGGAGGAGGCGTAGGAGGAATAAGTGTGAGTGTGAGTGAATGAGGTTGGGCATTGTTGGAGGGTGGTCAGATGAGGGTGGAGTGAGGGTTTTGGTGTGTTGGGGAAGCAAGTGAGGGTTTGTCCATTTGAAACGGCGAGAGAGAGAGAGTACGTGAGAGGCAGATGTTGTATAGGAATAGGAGGAGCAGGTGTCTCAGCGCATAGAGTCAGAAATCACGTGAAAATAAGGTACACACATGACACAGAGAGAGAGAGAGAGAGAGAGGGCCAACAAAATCCTCCTCTCGCGCTTCTCTAACACTGTAATGCCTTCTACTTCTATCATCAGATTTTCGACTTTCGTTAAACCTGTGTTTGGATATCTTAAAATGGTGTTCAACGCTATTTTTATTTTTTTTTAATGTATAAATTGAAAAGTTATGTAAATGATGAATTCAGTTAAACATGTGTTTCGTTGAATGGAATCGGAATTCAAACACATACTAATAAGTAGTATTTTTTTTTCTTTTTATTTGTAATAATCATAATGACACTAATACATTTTGAATTCATGTTATACTGTTCTAGCTTTTTATGAGTGATTCAAGTAGTATTTTTGTGTGAAAGCAAAAGAAATTAAAAATAATCATATTTTAAAAAGAAAAGAGAACAAATATATTTGTAAAAATAAATTTCATTTTTTATTTTGATTTTAATTTCTTTCTCAAACGACTAAATACACAACATATCTTTTATAGGAAACAATTTTGTAAATTTTTTACTGTTTAAGTTCTATAAAAAAAATGTTGATTAAGGGTTTTTTTTCTCCACATCAAGTCTTTTTCAAATTCAATTTTATTGCATCCAAAATGATTATAATCATATTTGTAACATGTTTGATTATAAGTAAAATTGATTTTTAGATGTGAAAATTATCATCTATTTAGCGTGTGTTTGCATCAACTTTGAGACATGAAAATTTACCCTTCCATGTAAATTTGCTTGTAAACATGAAGAAAAAAAGAAAAATTACGTTTATAAATCAAAACTAAACATACACTTAAAAATAACTATTATTAGTTTATCCATCAAATAAAATCAATTTTAAAGTTTTATCTACATAAATTAATAAATATACACCAAAAATCAATTTTGATAACAAGTTAAGTTTTCAAACAACACAATATGAAAATCAAGTTTATACCTTTGTCATATTATTTTTAACCCACATTTACTTAAAATCAAATCTACAAATTTATATTAATTCACAAATCAATAATATCAATATATATCTATATAGACACTAAGTTGCATCAACTATACACTAAATGAAAAGTTCGCTCGATTATTTATACAAATTTTTCATAGACATAAAATTATGTTATAGTTTTTTTTTCTAATTATAGACACATTTTATGTGTCGAAATATTTTTTCCGTTAAAAATATTGTTTAGGATAAAATACATTGATACACATGGCACATATTCATTTCATGAAAATCTACTTATTATCTCTTTCTAATTATACACATTTTCTGGGTCCAAATATTTTTTCCTTTAAAATATTGATTGTGATAAAATACATTCATGAATATAGTACATATTCATTTCGTAAAAAAGCCGGAGCATAATTTATCTTTTAATTCGATACTTAATTACTTATTCTCTTTTGTTGTCCCGATGTAACAAAAAAAATCACAACTCTTTTTATAAAATGATAAATAATAATTAAAAAAAAAAACCAGGTGGAGGTGCTGATGGAACTTCTCATATCATTAATCTTAAACATGTGATCATAATTTTATTTTGTCTCAAATTTTATAAAATATGCTATTATTGTTAGGTGCGTTTTAACGAAATATTAATTTTGTTATTAAAAAATTATTTTTAGTAGAAAAAAATGTAAAAGTTTTAGTGATTGAAAAATCCAATTCTATCGGAAAAAAAGTATAATAAATAATATTTCGAAACTTATAATCAAGAATTATATCAAAATATTTTGAATTTAAATTTTATTTTAAAAAAGTGATTCCTTTAAATAATTATAATGAAATAAATTATTTTAAAATTACTTTTCATCTAATATATTTAAATATTAAGCTTATTTTGTATAATAATAATAATAATAATAATAATAATAATAATAATAGTACTCCATTAAAAATATAATTAATAATCGAAATAGTTTTTCAATAGTTAAGTTTAAGGTAAAAATTTTCTATCAAATGAGATTTCGGTCATTAAATATCAAACCAAACACAGCACAATGAATTAGCGGCTTGGGCGGTAGCAGTGCACGTGAGTTTGCGTGAGCCTTCTTCTGCGCCGTGTGGTTCAAGTTCAACTACCTATTCAATTTTGCACTTACAACATTAACTGTTTATAAAGGTGGCTGGCTTTTTGAGTAAAGGGCTAAAAAAAGTTTCTTATACGTGAGGTTAAAAATAATCCTTAAATGTATTACTATTATTTTTTTTATAAGAAAAAGAGATTTAAATTAAAAAGGAGTAAAAGGGGTATTCCAACCTATTACAAAGAACACAGAGACATAATTAGAAATCAAAAATCAAAGCAAAAATTAGAAGAAATATAAAGTCGGGTTATAACACCAACTAATGTAACTAAAAGAACATTTAGGGACAGAACTCGTTATCCACTTCCATGAGCGCAGTTTAATGCTGTCAAGCACTTCCTTGCGATCCTTAACACCTTGTTGAAAGGTAATCACATTCCGATGAAGCCATAGTGACCAGATAACAGAAACCCAAACCACCAGAAAACACTGAGAATGTCTTTTATAAATGTCAAGATTCGTCCAATATAAATAAAGAGAAATTAGAGAGTTAGGAAGGACCACCGCAACCTCCAATCAATTAGCCATGGCTAACCAAGTATTAAAAGTCATAGGGCACATTAGAAAGAGATGAAAGGGGTTTTCAGCAAATAGAGAGCAAAAAGAATATAAATTGTTATCCAACACCACACCGCGTACTTGTAACAATGATTTGCACGGAAACACATTCAAAAACACCTGCCAACAAAATACCAAGCACTTGATCGGAGTCTTGCTTTTCCAAAGACTTTTTATAATTTGTTGAAAATCTGAAGAATATCTAGGTTCTCCACCCACCAAGCGTTGCAGCCAAAGGTATGCACTTTTCACCGAGAATACACCGTCCTTGTCACAAATCCATCTCCAATAATCGTGCTTAGAAGGGAAAATCTGCAAGCCTTGAAGCATATCCAATAAGGTATTCACACTACTAACTTCATGGACAAAAGGTTCTCTTTTCCACTTAACTTGTCACACCCACGTAGATCCCTCCCACGTTCCATTTTGTGACCACTGACAAAGGATCAAAGGCAAAGGAATATAAACGAGGGAAGACATCCAACAAGCGCAAACCCCCTATCCACTTATCCTCCCAAAATCGGGTCCTAGTCTCATCACCAATACAACGATCAATTTTTTCATTTAACCAAAAATTTCCTTGTTGTAGCACATACATTATATCCTTCTACCACCACGAAGCCCTCCTATCCACATTAGAGCAATTAGAAAAGGACTCAATGCGCCCATACCTACCATGAAGAACTTTAGCCCACAACATACTCGGAGAAAGCATGCACCTCCACACTCATTTCCTTAGTAGTGCCCAATTGAACAATCTTACATCCTTGATTCTTAGTCCACTCTCAACCTTAGACTTACACACCATTTCCCATTTTACTCAAGGAATCTTTAAGCCATCCTTAACACCTCTCCACAAAAAATCACGTTGAATGGCCACAATTTTCTTAATCACTGAGTTCGGTGCTTTAAAAAATGAAAGAAAAATCACTGAGTTCCTTAAAAGATGTATTACTATTACTAATAAAATAAATAAATTAATTAATTTTTTTATATTATCATTATTTAGTTATTTTAATAATATTTAATTGATATTTTTTATTTTATATAAACTAGTGGTATCAAGATACTTTGTGTTTCTATAATTATTGACTACTACAATTTTTATAATTTTTAGCAGTTATTTAGAACCGTTGACACTTAATATGAAGTGTGACTATTTTGACTCTTTATATTAAATAAATAAAACTTATTATTCATGTAACAATATAGGATAAAAAAGGAATAGTAAAATGTGTACACCAATATTTATTATCAGTTTTATCTATTGTTATCGATGAAGGATTTTTTTTACTCATATTTTTCTTACAATAAGATAATTTTATTTTATTTCAATAGATTAAAACATGATATTATTAAACTGTTTTTAGCTTGTTCACCATGTTTTTTTTTCTTTCCTTCTTTTTCTTTTATACCAAATAAAAGAAAGGTTTTTGATAAATGCACAATTTTTCTATTCTTTTTTTTCTTTTATTTTTCACGCATTTCAAATAAGAGGTAATTCTTCACCGAGAGATACATAATGAAAGCACAAAATAATATATCTATTTTATCGTTTTAAATATTCAAGTTATGAATTTATGACAATATTTTGACAGTAAAAAAGAGGAAAAGAGAAAAACAGGAAATACCTAGAGAACAATAGGTTATTCAAAAAAAAAAATCTGTACTTTATCGTTTTAAATATTTAAGTTATGAATTTATGACATAATATTTTGATAATAAAAGAGAGAGAAAGAGAAAAACAAACTCAGGAAATACAAAGTGAACAATAGGTTATTAAAAAAAATGATCTCAATTCTTGAGTTTATGCAATTTTGTTGTACATGTGAGAGGAAGGATCACATATTCCAAGAATAAATTTATTTAAATTTACTTTACTTAATAATTTATTTCACATAATATATAAAATATTTTTATAATTATACATTAATTTGAATTAATAAAATAGAGTATTAAATAGTTTTTCAAATTTTTAAAAAATTTATAAATTTGATTTATATATTTAAAAATTTTAATTTAACAATTAGATCGTTAAAATTTAATATAAAATATGAGTTATTGATTGAAATAAATTTAAAAATATTTACTCTTAAATTAAGTAAATATGTCATATATATATATATATATATATATATAATTACTATTAATAAAGATGATATATATACATATATACCTTTTTTATAAATTTTAAAATACTTTTTATTTAATTTTTTTTTACACTTTTTAATTAACTATTCACATTCATTGTTGACTGTCTTTTCATATATAATTTTTATTATTATTTTTAATTTTTAAACAAATATATGGATACACAAAATATTTTATTATTTATTTATTCGTTTTTTGATCATATCTAGTATTGAAACTGGACTTCCCACAAGTGCTAAGTTGTCTGCAGTTCCTTTGATTTTGGTTAAATACTTTTCCATATTTAGACCTTTATTTTTGGTTATGAGAAATTCAATCTTGAGAAAGGTGATCTTCGAACGTGTGTGTTCCGGCTAAACTTTGAGCCCCTTCCCAAAGTTGTTGTGAAGTTTCACAATGTCGTAACTGTGTTGCAATGCCATGAGTCAAGGAGTTCAATAGCCATCCAAGCAATCCTTGATCAATGGTTGACCATTCTTTAAACTTTAGATTTAATTTCTTGTTGCCTTCACTGGTGATAAATTCTTTTGGGCTTTGCGTGGTACCCAGGATGTAACAAGCCAATGTTGGCCTTTGAGCAGCGGGAGCACTAAGGACTTCCATAAAATATATATAATTGTTTGTGTCCAACTTTATAGAAGAAAAAAAAATGGGAAGGGCATTTTTGGGGTGATTGAATCTAGGTTTACCATGGTAGTGGGAAAATAGAAAAACTATAAACATACATTGAGTGATTGACAGAATACGATCAATCTTAAGTTTAAAGTTGTCCAGAGTCATAAATAATTGAATATTATTTAAGACTTAAATTTCAAAACTTAAAAGTATAAATATACAAACACACAATTATATATATATATATATATATATATATATAAATAAAAAAAAAA